CAGTCTAGACGCAGGGGAAGTTTTTTCGAAAAAAGGCCACTTTTTTCGAAAAAACCCTATAGTCTAGACACACCCTTAGTGACCTGACAGCTTCTTACTGAGAAAATGTGTCCCTAAATTTGAATTTGGAGAGTGATCATTTAGGAAGCATGGTTTAGTAGCTAAAATCAGAATATGGCAAGTCAGGAGAAGAAAATTCAGCTCCAAGCTCTTTTTCAGATATGTTGTATGACCTTAGGTAATTTAACCTTTCTGTGCCTCCATTTCCACCTGTGGAAAATGGAGACAATGATAATAATAATAAATTAATAACCTACTTTATTATTATTAATTTATTAACATTCACAAAATGTTTTGAGAGACTCAAGTGGAAAATGCTAAATGAGTGCAGAAAATTGTTATTATAGGCAGTGCAGCCAGAAACTCCTATAGTTGCCTGTCAATTTCCATTATGAGACCTTATTTTAATTGTTTATACCTTTGCCAACTTTCAATCATTTCAGTTGAAATTATCCATGCCAGGTGACTGTATCCAGTTGACTTTTATTTTATTATATTTTATTTCATGCTAATTCCTCATGGAATGAGGAGTACAGCTAGTTCGGATTAGGAAGCCTAATCCGAACTAGCTACTCCGTGCCGCGTGTAGCCGCGCGGCACGGGGTTCGAACTGCCGGCATTTAAAAATGGCGCCGGCCGGCTTCATGCAAATGAAGCCCGGGAAATTCAAATCCCGGGCTTCATTTGCAAGTGCAGTATGCCTACATTACCCTCCTAGTTCGAATTAGGAGGGTAGTGTAGACATACCCTGACTGACTACGCGAAGCGCAGAGTAGTAACATCATTGTCCCCACTCTCTGGCTAAGCTGGCATTACATAGGGACACTTATCATGGCAAACACAAATTAAAATTGTTTTCAATAAAATTCATTAATGTTTAAATATTAATTATTTTTTTAAAAGTCATAAAATGTTATTGGAATGGAATTCTTATGGAACCCTTATTTTCACTTTGTGGAACCCCGGGGTTCCGTGGAACACCATTTGGAAAACACTGAGTTAGAGAGTGCATGCAGCAGTTGGAGAGGGCATGCAGCTGTAATCTATCCTAATGGTTCTATGTAGAACATGGTAAAAAAGGATTATCTTCTACACTGCCTTGGTCCAAAAGCTAGAAGAAACCTCCTGGGAGGGAGAGGTAAATGTTCTACAAACCTCAGTTCTGTCAGAGGAATACCATGCAGTAATGAGGGGCAGAAGATGGCATAGCTCCCTCATTGGTTAGGATCTGAACACAGTCATCCATATAATTAATGGCTGCTTTAGTCACATATTAACATCTAATTGGTACGTTTTGGCTCACATAGCTCCTGTAAAACTTTGATGAGATGTCATCATCCTTAAAACTGCATGGAGGGATAGGACAGATGAAATTGCCAGCTGCTCACAAGGCCTGACGATGGTTTTATTACATGCTAATAAGTAAGATCTGCCCACCTCTAGAAGAAAACACCTGCACCTGTAGTTCCTGCCGGTTTTCCACAACTGACTTTGCAATATCCTTTTGTGGTGGCCATCCATGCATTCATGTCCAGTGTTGCTGGTCCAGTGCCTGTCTCAGATGAACAATAGAGTATTAGAGCTGACAATTAAGACTTTGTGGAGTGTCAGCAACTCTGTGATAGAAAGGCATGCCAATGACCTTCAGAAGCCCTAGTATGCAATGTGTGATGCATATCCTATATTAGTATTAACAAGCTGCTGACTAGAATGAATAATAGTTCCCAAAATCCAGAAATTTGGCTTAGCCCAGTCTTCACACTGTGACTGCAGAGCAGTAATGAAGATGGTGGTAATGCAAACATTGATTTGGCAGGTAAGGAGGGAGTACCGGGAAGTAAAGTTTTAGGAGAAGCAGATTTAACATTTTCTTTTGAAGGGATTATGTCACTGGTATGAAAGACTGCCATCAGATCTGCACTTAGACAAACAGCTGGCACAGAAACCTGTACTTTTCAACTCAGAGATATTAATCCAATGGCAATGTGCCATTCTATTAATACTTTTTCCACTCTTTGATTTTGTAAGTGGCATGCTGTATTCTCCTTGACTACCAAAGTACCACTTTTAAATGTATCAGCTTCAACTCAGGAGTCATCTGTTAGAAGTAGAGAAAGTTATCAGGGAATAACCCCAGAGTTAATTAAAGTTATCACTTAGTGCCTGATCTTGCAAATCCTTACTCTTGCGATTGAAACCAATATGAAACTGAAACCAAAATGACTATTTAAGGGAGTAAGTGTTACTTGTCTGAGTACAATTTGAGAGGACTGTCCATTTATTATAACAATAAAATGTCTTAAGTATTATCAACTATTATAAAATGTAATGTGAACTTGTTTGTGATTCATTTCTTTGGGATTTTTTAATAAAAACAAATGAGCAAAATGAATTAGAGTCAGGAATCTGATCATGCACACAAATATTTTGAGAGAACAGCATATAAGTTAAAGCATTATGTTGTAATTTCTTTGGATCATCATGGCAATAGAAGCAAATATTATAAATATATTTAATTTTCAATAAATTGAATGATTTTTTTTGCCTCTAAAAATGCAGCACATAAAAAGATTATCCAATATAGTCCTGAAGACTTTCTAGCTAGCCTTTCATATAAGTACCTTTTACTGCACTGACGAGATCCTCAGCTGGTGAAAATGTGCATTGCTCTACAGAAGTAAATGTGTGCAAATGGACACTAGCCAAACATGAGGCCCACCGTGCCCAAATTGTTACTTCTTTACTCACCTTTTAAGCAGGATGCTACATTCATACTGGATTCCTGTATACAAAAAGGCTCAGGAAGAACGTCTGTATTTGATCAATGGATATTGGCATTGGAAAAGGTTCAGAAAAGGGCAACAAAAATGATTAGGGGTTTGGAACTGGTCCCATATGAAGAAAGATTAAAAAGACTTGGACTTTTCAGCTTAGAACAGAGGAGACTAAGGGGATATGATAGAGGTCTATAAAATCATGAGTGGTGTGGAAAAAGTGAGTAAGGAAAAGTTATTTGCTTGTTCCCATAATATAACAACCGTGAGTAAGGAAAAGTTATTTGGTTGTTCCCATAATATAACAACCAGGGGTTACCAAATGAAATTAGTAGGTAACAAATTTAAAACAAACAAAAGGAAGCGTTTCTTCAAACAGCACACAGTCAACCTGTGGATCTCCTTGCCAGAGGATGTTGTGAAGACAAATAGGATTTTAACAAGGTTAAAAAAAATAGCTAGATAAATTAATGGAGGTTAGGTCCATCAAAGGCTATTAGCCAGGATGGGTAGGAATGGTGCCCCTAACCTTTGTTTGTCTGGAAATGGATGACAGGAAAGGGATCACATGATGATTGCCTGTTGTGTTCACTCCCTCTGGGGCACCTGCTATTGGCCACTGTCCGTAGACAGGTTACTGGGCTAGCTGGACCTTTGGTCTGACCCAGTCTGGCCGTTCTTATATTCTTATGATTATGCAACTGATTAACCCCTATATGTGTTAGCTTGTGATATCTTCTCCCCTACTCCCTACAAACTAGGGGCTCCAAAACAAAGGGACAAATAAAGGATGCAGACTCAGGCATTTTAGTCCTCTTTGAACAAATTAGAAAGTTATTTTCCTCCTTCTGCAATGTGCCCCATATATTTGGCACTTCTTTTGTTCACCTAATAGCATTCTGAAAAATGAAACCGCGAGGCTCATTTTAAGTAAGACCACTCTGATTTCCCTGTATGTACTTCTGGAACTTTAACTATCAGAAGGTTGAGGGAAAATCTACCAAACACATATAATTAGATTCATTTTAAAATGTTTTTAAATTATTTGCCTGCCATCATCATTTGTGAGGCTAATGGATAGAAGGTAGGAATTATGACAGTGCAAAGGGTGATTTTAAGGCAGTAGAAAGATGGATAGCTATAGAAGCAGATGGCTGGCTGTAATAACTAAGGTGGTAGGAATGAAAGCCTAATGCATAAGAGGTTGAAACTGAGATGTTTGAATTAATAAGTCTCCAGAAAAGATTAGAATAAGGTTGGTATTACTCTGCATTTAGATTTAAACATCTCTGTTTTGTTAACTTTTTGAATTTGCCCTTTTCTTGCCTTCATTGGATGCATCTCTGCCTCTCTGCTCAGTCTATTCAACTTCTGTTCGTTTTTATTCCTAACAGGCTGTTCTATTTAATTGTAGGCTAAACACCCTTGTCTCACTGATGGGTTGGAACCATTTGCTGCACAATGCAGAAAGAAAATTAGTTCTTAATGTGCACCCTTCTCCATTATAGAAAGTTTGCCTCCGAGGTGTGCGACTAAATTATCAGACTTGAGAAATTTCAAGTTGGCACTTGCATCCCTGAAACAGTATCTGGGCTTCTAGGAAAGGGACTGTGGGGATAGTATTAAAAAATCTATCAGTTGTCTGTTTAGCACGTTAGGAACGGAAATTAAACGACCGCCTTTAAGCATGTAGCAAGTAGTTTGATTTCTACTAGCAAGGCGGCAAACACGCACATGCCCCGGATGGTTAGTTTGCCAGAGAATCTTGAGAAGAGTTCAGGGCCATTTCTGTATCCAGCCCCCTTCTGGATGCAAAAAGTCTCTCCTGCCTGTCTCTCCCTCTTCAGCCGGGATCTCCGGGAACGAGGGCGTGCAGAGAAGCGAGGTGGCTGCATTCATTTAACAAAGGCAGGGCGCCAGCCAGGCATTGTGCACGGCAGAACTTCCCTTGCTCGCCCCCCCTTTGCAAGACGTGAAACCCCCGTGAAGGAAGGTGTCAGTGTGTGTGTGTGTGTGTGTGTGTGTGTGTGTGTGTTTCGCGCGCGCCAGACAGAGCAGACCGACTACTGCCCCAAGTCCCGGGTCAAGAAATGGGGCACTGGCTCCATCCGGCCCGTGCTCCCCTGCTCTGCCCGG